CCCCCCCCCCCCCCCCCCCTCCCCGTTGCTCCTACCTTCAGAAGCCTCACTCCCCCTTTTCCCCTCTCCGGCTCTTCGCCGCACCAGTCGACTCATTTTTCCTCCTCCCCCAAGAAACCATACTGGATCCGCATATGTGCCTACCTCCTTTTCTCTTTTTTTCTGCTTTAATTCTTTTTCCTTTTCTTTTTTCTAGTTTAATGTCCTTACGACCATAAATAGATAATTAAGCAGTAATAGTAGGGGTAGGAAAATATTTTAAAGTTCGAAGAAAAGAAAATAATATTATGAAATTAGTAGAAGTAAAATATTATAGTGGTAAGAAATGTTTCGGTCCATTAAGTCGTATACATTTCTTACCATTACCACAATTGGACCTCATCAGTACGACGATTATGGTAATTGATGTAAATTTTATTTTTATTTTAAATAGTTGTGTTATATTAAAATTAGTTGTATGGAAATTAATAAAAGTACGTGTTAGTAAAAGTTGTGAGGCGTAAAATGAAGTAAAGTAACGCAAATCTGAGGAAATGAAGTAAATGTCAATTTCATCAACAGACTGACCACTGGGCAATGCAGCATTGGTCAAAACAACTGTGAAGTGAAGACTGGGAATAGCGTGGTTGTCGGCTACATCGTTGATGAATCGGTGACGAATTAGTAGTCGTTTCCAAGTATTAAGTAATAACCCGAAATTTTTATGAGGTTTAATAACCCAAATTTGAGAAGCTAGAACGAATCGCCAACATCTGTGTAGTTTGAGAACCACACTTTGAACTGGTTATGGAAATGCTAGGCATAAAAATTTTTTAAATGCTCTTTTTAACGGATAAAAACGCAAAGGTCAAATATTTTCGTGTTCTTGATGATACTGTGAATAATTGCTTCCCATTATCGATCCTGGGCAAGTGGCAGAGAAAGGAGCAGGACGATTGCTGTTTGTGCGAACACAGTTAACCCTCTTGTTGTTACAGAGAAGTACCTCCGTTCCAAAAAGGTTCCAATCATTTCTCGGGTCAAATCTATTTTTTGTGATTCGCTAAGCCTAGGATCTTTCCTGCTGATCCATTTTCCCAGAATCGCCCTCTTCATATTTACTGGCTAAATTGCTGAGAAAGACGATTTTATGATTGCTGCTTATCCGAGCAATTAACCTCTTATAAATAGGAGGAGTTTTTTACCTTTCCAAAAAAGCCGCCGTCATTTCTCTGGTCAAATCTTCTTATCCCCCAGACCTGGTATCCGTGGAGAATAAAAATCCGAATTCCTAGAATCATTCTCAGCAGCAGCACAAGATTTCCTCAAGGATAATTGGGATACTTGTACGGGCACGCCCCCAGAAAATGACCTATATATAAGTCGAAATCCAGCATGGAGTATTCAGCTTTCATCGTCCGAACGAGAGATGGATGGGGGTAGTCCGTCAAACAAGTTCTTTCCTAGCACATTATGGTTCGGACTGGTTTGGCTGTTTCTGTGGTATTTTGTGTTGCTATATTACACATGCATTAGTTAAGTAGGTAACTAAGTAGTAAGTAATTAAATAAGTAAATAATATTTTTGTAGTACAATATCAATCTGACAAGCGGACTGTAGCAACCAGGTTGACCTTAAAAGCCTAAGCGGCGAAGGAGCAATAGAATACAGTACGAGAAAAGAGAGCAAGAGTGAGATAAGACGTTTCGGTCCATTAAGACATTCCGATAATAAAATTTATATTCATTCACTGTTATATGCTGCGGTACTTGTTTATTTGTTTGTGTTCATATGTGTACCAGAAATACCAAAACTGCTTGGTCAGTTGGAATGGAGATCACATGTTTTTCTTCAACATTACTTTTCATATAAAAAATATTTGTATGCTATTTCCATTTATTTTTTGCCAAATTATGCTTTCAAATTTTATTTTTGGAATGTTCCGACACGCCGGACGTTGCTATGCCAGGTCTTTCAATCCTGAGATGCACACCTTCAGTTAGTACCCGTCCTATTTAAAACCACCTTTTCGGAAGGTGGCCAAACGACCGTTTATGTCCTGACAGATACCACATCGCTGTGATGTTTGACGCTGTTATTTAATGAATCATGAGTGCCATATCATATTCACATTTAGTTC